CTTTATTTAGAAACTCTAAAATTATAAGATGAAAAAAATTTAACTTTAACTTGTCAATTACTTTTTTTTATGAACTTAACTTTTAACTCAGTTAATTTTATTATGGACTGACTTTTGTATCTTAACTAAGTTAAATTTTTAGACTGTTAACTTTAACTTAACTTAGTTTTAAAAAAATATTAACTTACCCAACCCTGTGTATATTACATATTACATATATGAGTTATTTCGCGGAAACCGAAAGATTCATTACGACGTAAAAATATCAGAGAATATACCTAGTTCAACCGTGCTTACGTCTGACCAGTTTTCATGATCCTCATCCGGGCCGCTGTGCGGAGACTCTGCAAAGCAGTTTAACTTCAATATTAAATACTCGGACACAAATGCGTCAACATCATATGTTTGTATCTATACGTCGTAGATTATGCTATAATTTACAAACAGCGGCAGCAAATTAACTACAAACAAGAATTTAACTGTCAGTCACAATTGATCGTTTTACTTGATCGATCACTAATATGTTTGCACATTTGTAATTGTCAATAAGATATATGTATTTACAAAAATACAAAGTATTTTTTTTTTGCGTGTAACCTTACATCGTATGTTTTACAATATATGCGTGTCAAGTAATTTCGAGCTTGGAAACATACCTACTATAGGTATATCACCGTAATCACTTTGTTCGGTGTCGTAATCTTCATCAATGTCCATTATTACTTGTGAAATTACGATATAAATCAAATCCCTTTCGATTCGTATGCAGACTCTGACTATCAAAACGTATACTGTTTTTTGACGTCAGAGTAGGGTTGTGGATTGTAGACAGTAGATGGGCCGGGTTCTCACGCATGCGCAGTTACGATTCAGTAAACTGTCGATACTAAAAAAAAAATTTTTCACTTTCGAGTTTCGCCCGATGATCGACCATACAAGGTTTCTAATTTACACGTAGGATTTCATTATATAAAAAAAATATTATAAAACATAACTATAATGTAAAACAAATATGTATACTTAACGTATATGACGTAATTGTAATTATATGTACATACATACATACATATATATATACATATATATATATATATATATATATATATAATTAAGTATGTTATTATTTAATGTTTGTAACATTAAATAAAAACATTAGAATCATAAATTCAAAAACAAAGAATTGACAGGACAATTTATAAAATAAGACACTACAGTTTTATATATCCAATACATAAGTTTGAATCCTAATAAATCCGTTTGAATGAATTAAATCTGTTTCATAATATATATTTCATCTTATATATTACACGCAGTTTAGAGCGATTTTTATTTGGCAAGGCGCCAATTTATCTTTAAAAACATTTTTCTTTAACCATCCAAGCTTCAAATTTTCATCTATGTTTATTTTTTTTTAATAACCATTTTTCCTACAATTAAATCCATTATATAATTATTGAACATAATTATTTATTTTGATCTATTTTAATCTGTATAGGCATATATGTATAATTCACTGTTCTGTTTGACCATCAGTCACTTCAAATTTATGCTCCTAATATAATCTACAACATGCTACATCGCAAAATTACACGTACGTATGTACATACGCGAAAAAATTCGATATTTAAGTAACTGTAATTTTGAACATCTGTTGCAATAAAAAATTTAAAATTCAAAAATTACTTTTTATTCTATCTAATTTTATAGAAATTAGAAATTAAGCAGCATTCAACAAGGTTACATATATATATATATATATACATGAAAATATTGCAATTAATTTATATATTTAGTTGAATACTGCTTAATTTCTAATTTCTATAAAATTAGATAGAATAAAGAATAATTTTTGAATTTAAAATTTATTATTGTAACAGATGTTCAAAGTGGTTCTTTAGCCTCATTATTATTCCACAACAATGTTTATATTTAACAGAAATCAATGCCTAATGTTTTAAAAAAATGTTAAACACATTATTTTATTGCAATTATTCAATTGTATAAGATTGGTAGTTTTTTTACAGTTTGTCATCATTTTCTCGTGTATAACTGTAATATATATTATAAAAGTCATCCATATAATAAAAATTGTACAAATATTAAAATAATATGAAATATGACCTAAAAGAGGCTCTCAAATTTGATATTCATTTACGCGGTCTAATTGAAATTACTATTGTTTATATATTATAAAATATTTGAATTATATACTGGCACTTGGATATCCAATAAGTAAGTTTTTAATATATTATTAAAAAATGTACATACATATATAATAGAATTACTAGCAAAATCATTTCAATATTCAATTTTTACTTTACTATTATTACTATTGTTACTATTACTGTTTGTTTGATATAAATAATTACACATCTGTGAATGTAAGGATTTCATTCAGCAAAAATATATAACATTTATTTTGAAAAAGGCAGTTTGTTGATGCAATGACTAATGCAATTATAATTGCTATTTGTCTAGTGTTTATGTATATACATATTTATGTATATGTATATATTTATGTGTATACATGTATAACTATGTTACTGCTTGTCTAATATTTATGTGGCCTAAATGGATGATTTGGATCAAATAATTTTGGATCTTTAACATATTCTGGTTCTTTAGTCCACAAACCCATTAAACCTGCAACATAAAAAACAATGTTTGTAGTTATAATTTATCTTTATAAATCTTTTATATTATCTGAATTTAAAAAATTATTTTGTATGTATATATATGTATAAATACCTGCACTTTGAGCTTTTGCAATTTCTTGTTCTAATCTCATTTGTTTATGTTTACATAATCCCGTTATATGTCTTCCATATATCCTGCCTGTATATCGACTTTGAAATTGTGAAAGTAATCTTACATTCTTATAATCTGGTTCAATTTTCAATTTACATAGAACACATTGCTGCTTTTCTTTTACATATGGATTTTCAATTTGGATAGGCTATAAATATAAAAGAAATATATATCATACATCATACAAAAACACTCAAAACAAAAAAGAATAAAATATTGTAACATAAACAACAGTTTTATACAAAAATATATTTCTATTTATAAGTATATAGAATAATGATTTATTTTATGATTTGAAATGTTCTGAAATGTACTAAAAATTTAGAGTTAATCATTATATATGTTATGTATGTTATAGATTTTCAATACTGTCAGTATATTTCGCGGAATGCGTCCTTACCATATCATTTTCCATCACAGCCTCAATTTTTACAGACTTGTCGGAGGAACTTTTATATATAGTTCGAAAACACGATTTGTAGAATTTGCCAGAGACAAGCGTCATTGCAATTCTTTGTGAAGCAAAAACAGAAATCATTTCGCAAGTATTGAAATCAATTTGTAGTGTTCTAATATAACCTTCAAATCTTGCAGCTCTCAGTCCTCAGTCCTCAGACCGGGAGCACACGAATATTACGAACACGAAACATGAAATACATGACTGCGACGCCTGCGACCGCTGGGCTGCGTTCAGAAACTTCGCCTAGATGCATCCATAGAACTTAAGGCCGAGACACAGACTTTTGCATAACGCTGCATAACGCATAAGACATAAGGCATAAGAAAATCAACCAATCAGAGTATGAAATGAAGGACTCTGATTGGTTCATTCTCTTATGCTTTACGTCTTAT